GACTTGTTCGACTGTACTATATTCCTATGTGCACTAAGGTCTATGATCTGTTTAACATCTCGTCACACTATTTTCGACCTAAGCGTACATAAGATTATAGTGCAGCCGAAAAAGTTGGTCGATTCCTTACCATCTCGTATACCACGAGGCGCTTTAAATCTACCCTTGGTTTAAGGTTTGAATTCATTATAATAAAAACGTTTTAGCGGTAAGCAGTTACGTTTAACGTTTCACATGTAATCATGTACATGTTTGAAGTTTTACTTCCTGCTGTTAATGACAACTTTATCAATAAACCTTGTCTTTGATCACTGGACCGACGGACTGCTACAGATTACTGAACACAGTCATATATTTTTGTTGTGATAAATGAAACTATCTAATACAACTTCAACAATCAGCTGGGAACAACTCCTGGTTAGCTTGACAGTCAAATACAACTTCAATAATCAGCTGGGAACAACTCCTGGTTAGCTTGACAGTCAAATACAACTTCAATAATCAGCTGGGAACAACTCCTGGTTAGCTTGACAGTCAAATACAACTTCAACAATCAGCTGGGAACAACTCCTGGTTAGCTTGACAGTCAAATACAGCGTCAACAATCAGCTGGGAACAACTCCTGGTTAGCTTGACAGTCAAATACAGCGTCAACAATCAGCTGGGAACAACTCCTGGTTAGCTTGACAGTCAAATACAGCGTCAACAATCAGCTGGGAACAACTCCTGGTTAGCTTGACAGTCAAATACAACTTCAACAATCAGCTGGGAACAACTCCTGATTACTTAAACATAATTACACCGCGTCAACAGTTAGCTGATAAAGAAATATTGGCCTCGTTACCACAGAACACTGATTGAACAGTTAGCTGTTTAAGAAACTTTGTCCTCTTTACCACAGAACACTGATTGAACAGTTAGCTGGTAAAGAAATATTGGCCTCGTTACCACAGAACACTGATTGAACAGTTAGCTGATAAAGAAATATTGGCCTTTACCACAGAACACTGAAACTGGTAAAGAAATTGTGATTGAACAGTTAGCTGGTAAAGAAATATTGGCCTCGTTACCACAGAACACTGATTGAACAGTTAGCTGATAAAGAAATATTGGCCTCGTTACCACAGAACACTGATTGAACAGTTAGCTGTTTAAGTTAAAGAAACTTTGTCCTCTTTACCACAGAACACTGATTGAACAGTTAGCTGGTAAAGAAATATTGGCCTCGTTACCACAGAACACTGATTGAACAGTTAGCTGGTAAAGAAATATTGGCCTCGTTACCACAGAACACTGATTGAACAGTTAGCTGGTAAAGAAATATTGGCCTCGTTACCATAGAACACTGATTGAACAGTTAGCTGGTAAAGAAATATTGGCCTCGTTACCACAGAACACTGATTGAACAGTTAGCTGGTAAAGAAATATTGGCCTCGTTACCACAGAACACTGATTGAACAGTTAGCTGTTTAAGAAACTTTGTCCTCTTTACCACAGAACACTGATTGAACAGTTAGCTGGTAAAGAAATATTGGCCTCGTTACCACAGAACACTGATTGAACAGTTAGCTGTTTAAGAAACTTTGTCCTCTTTACCACAGAACACTGATTGAACAGTTAGCTGGTAAAGAAATATTGGCCTCGTTACCACAGAACACTGATTGAACAGTTAGCTGGTAAAGAAATATTGGCCTCGTTACCACAGAACACTGATTGAACAGTTAGCTGTTTAAGAAACATTGTCCTCTTTACCACAGAACACTGAATGAACAGTTAGCTGGTAAAGAAATATTGGCCTCGTTACCACAGAACACTGATTGAACAGTTAGCTGTTTAAGAAATATTGGCCTCGTTACCACAGAACACTGATTGAACAGTTAGCTGGTAAAGAAATATTGGCCTCGCTACCACAGAACACTGATTGAACAGTTAGCTGTTTAAGAAACATTGTCCTCTTTACCACAGAACACTGATTGAACAGTTAGCTGTTTAAGAAATATTGGCCTCGTTACCACAGAACACTGATTGAACAGTTAGCTGGTAAAGAATTATTGTCAACTTTACCATAGCACGAAAGAGGAAGAAACGCACGACAATTATTCAGACAGAAAGACGAATTTCAAAACAGACTGAGGTTTTTTTTTATGTTTCTCGATGTTATTGAATGTCTTGACTTTTCCAAATAAAAAATAATCTTCACGAAAGAAGAATTGTAAATAAGTAGATGACTGCCCAAACTGACCACGTATTCAGGTAAGAAGAGTAAATGTTATATTGCTTGGAACTTTGCAGCCCAAGAGGTTATATAATATAGACAGACTTATTAAAAAGTACAATCCATCTCGTAACGTTACCACAGACTCCATCCATCAGAAAGACCCTCACACTTTGCGTGTTGTATTTAATGTGATATGTCAAATAAAAAGGAAACTAGATTCTTTGAACTGACAAACGAATTGTACTACAAGCTTCTCTCAGTGAAATCAACTATAAAAAATATAAAACATACAATATTGTAATAGTTACAAGAAAATATCTTTGTTCAGGCTTGTAGCTAACGACATCGCCTATTTATCATGCTCGCCTAGTTGGGTCTGTGACGTCACACCAGGCGGAGCACTAGCTCGCACTATGACATCCACGTTAATTAAAAGCCGAATTGTTTTATTGTCTGCGTGAGACCACTTCAGTCCAAATATAAGTGGCCAGATAATTTTATTTTAAAAGATAAGTAAGAAAATAGTGTCACATAAGTAAGGTAACAGACTACACTTCAGGGCCTGATATTAATATTCACGTGAGTGTTCACAATAGCAGTGCTACATTATGTCTGGTTATATATATTGTGGTGTCAATTCTTGTTTCTTTGGGGGTGAGTGTTAGGGGGGGGGGGTCATCAATGACATGTAGAGAATCGCCTATAGTAGCTGAAAAACAGACGAGAGGCCCACCACGTTTCATCCAGAGCAATAGGGAAAGTGTCAAGCCCAAGGACAAAATTACAACAGACTGGTCCGTTTCTCAGCTGAGGAACACAAACCACCACTGGAAGGGATTGTGAAATCACGGATCTCGAATCTTCATCCTGATGTTACGTAAGAACGCTGGAACTTGTCAACTATACAGGCCCCTCGGAGTGAATTTACACGTAATAAAATCTAGCGGAACTGTAATTGTGCTTTCATGGTGTCGTGTGCCTTCGAACAACTAGGCACTGAGTTAAAATATTGTTTAAAATACCGGGTTTATTGGGTATGAGGAAGATTATAATCAATCTTATTTGGACAACCATATTTCCGTGCAGCTCATAAAAGATATCTTGTTTTTTAATACACATGTTCATTTTATCAGGATATGATAATCCATTTGTGTTATGTAATTTGATTATTATTTTTTATTTGAATAAATCTCAACTCGCTTGTCATAGAAATAGCATGAGCAAAACATTCAAAACAAGTCTAGCCAATATACCGCACCCATACACATGTCTGTCTAGTTTATGGAAAGTTGAAGTCATGTACGCCTGTAAATATCGAACATGTGTACACGCCCACTATCTTCTGTGTAATATGATAACGAGGAATGACAAAGTCTAAACCACACCATTACGTCTCTGAAAGGACACTACAGGAGAGAAAAGATGTACACATTTAAACAGAGAGAGGGAAATCTTAAGAGAAAGACATATGTCCATAATCACAGAGAAAAGAAGGAGAGGGAGATTAGAATCAGAGAGAAAAGAGGGAGGGAAGGAGAAGGGAACAGAAATAAGGGAGGGAGGAAGGGGGAGGAAGGCAGAGAGAAAGGGAGAAACAGAGAGAGAAAGAGAGAAAGGGAGAAGGAAGACAACCACACAGAGAGAGGGGGGATGGAGGAAGGAATGAAACAAGGAAGGAACGAACAAGGGAGGGAGGAAGGAAGGAATGAAACAAGAGGAAGAGAAGGGAGAGGAAGGAAGAAAAAGAGAGATAGGGAAGGAGGGAGGAGAGGGAAAAAACAGAGAGGGAGGGAGGGAAACAGAGGAGAGTTAGGGAAGGAGGGGGAGGAGGGAAACAGAAACAGAGAGGGATGGAGGGAAGGGAGGAGGGAGAGGGAAACAGAAACAGAGAAGGGAGGGAGGGAGGGGGAAGGGGAAGGGAAAGGAGGAAAAAGAGAGAGGAGGTAAGGGAGGGGAGAAGGAAACAGAAACAGAGAGGAAGGTAAGGGAGGGAGGGGTGGGGGAGGGAAACAGAAACAGAAGAGGAAGGTAAGGGTGGGGGAAGGGAAACAGAAACAGAGAGGAGGTAAGGAGGAAACAGAAACAGAGAGGAGGTAAGGGAGGGGGAAGGGAAACAGAAACAGAGAGTTAGGTAAGGGAGGGGGAGAGGGAAACAGAAGGGAGGAGAGAGTTAGGTAAGGGTGGGGGAAGGGAGGAACAGAAACAGAGAGTTAGGTAAGGGTGGGGGAGAGGGAAACAGAAACAGAGAGGAGGTAGGGAGGAAGGAAGGAAGGAAACAAGGAAGGAAGGAAACAAGGGAGGGAGGAAGGAAGGAATGAAACAAGGAAGGAAGGACAGAAACAGAGAGTTAGGTAAGGGAGGGGGAGAGGGAAACAGAAACAGAGAGTTAGGTAAGGGAGGGGGAGAGGGAAACAGAAACAAGAGTTAGGTAGGAGGGAAACAGAAGAGAGTTAGTTAAGGAGGGGGAGAGGGAAACAAACAGAGAGTTTGGTAAGGGAGGGGGAGAGGGAAACAGAAACAGAGAGTTAGGTAAGGGAGGGGGAGAGGGAAAAGCAAATGAGGGAGGGAGGGGGGGAAGGGAGAAACAGAGAGTTAGGTAGGGAGGGGGAGAGGGAAACAGAAACAGAGAGTTAGGTAAGGGTTTGGGAAGGGAAACAGAAACAGAGAGTTAGGTAAGGGTGGGGGAAGGGAAACAGAAACAGGTAGGAGGAAGGAAGGAAAGGAGGAAGGACAGAGAGAGAGGAGGGAGAGGAGGGAGGAACAGGAACACAGGAGGGAAGGGATGGAGGGAGAGGGAGGACAGAAGAAAGGAAGGGAGGGGAAAGGGAAACAGGAGGGAGGGAGGGGGAGGAAGAGAGCAAAAAGGGAGGGAGGGAAGGGAAAGGAGGGAGGAAGGAAGGAAGAGAAAGAGAGGAGGGAGGGAGGAAGGAGGCAAAGAGGGAGGGAGGGAGAAGGAAGGACAGAAGGAGGGAGAGGGAGAGGGCGGAACAGAGAAAGAGGGAGGGAGAGGGAGGAAGGAAGAAGAATGAAAGGAGGGAAAGGAGAAAGGAGGGAGGGAGGAAGAAAGAAAACAAGGGAGGAGGGAGGAGGAAGAAAGAAAAAAGAAAGGAGAGAGGAAGGGAGGGAGGGAGGAAGAAAGAAACAGGGAGGGGGAACAGGGAGAGAAAGGGAGGGAAGGGAGGGAGGAGAGAAGGAGGGAAAGGAAGGAATGAAACAAGGAGAGAGAAGAGGGAGGGAGGGAGGGAGGAAGGAAGGGAAAGGAGGGAGGGATGGAGGGAGGGAGGGAGGAAGGAAGAAAACAAGGGAGGGAGGAAGGAAGGAAGGGAGGAAGGGAAAGTAGGGAGAGAGGAGAGAGAGGGAGAAGGAAGCAAAGGAGGGAGGGAGGAAGGAAGGAAGGAAGGAAGGAAGGAAGGAAGGAAGGAAGGAAGGAAGGGAAAGGAGGGAGGAAGGAAGCAAATGAGGGAGGGAAGGAGGAAGGAAGAAAACAAGGGAGGGAGGAAGGAAGGAAGGGAGGAAGGGAAAGTAGGGAGGGAGGGACGGAGGGAGTAAGGAAGCAAAGGAAGGGAGGGAGGAAGGAAGGAAGGAAGGAAGGAAGGAAGGAAGGAAGGAAGGAAGGAAGGAAGGAAGGAAGGAAGGAAGGGAAAGGAGGGAGGAAGGAAGCAAATGAGGGAGGGAGGAGGAAGGAAGAAAACAAAGGAGGGAGGAAGGGAGGGAGGGAGGAAGGAAGGAAGGGAGGAAGGAAGGAAGGGAAAGGAGGGAGGGACGGAGGGAGGAAGGAAGGAAACAAGGGAGAGGGGAAGGAAGTAAGGAAACAAGGTAGGAAACAAGGAAGGAAGGAAAGGAGGGAGGGAGGAAAGATAGAAGGAAACAAGGAAGGAAGGAAACAAGGAAGGGAGGGAGGGATGGAGGAAGGAAGGAATGAAACAAGGAAGGAATGAAACAAGGGAGGGAGTCAGGAAGGAAGAAAAAAGCTGGAGGGAGGAAGGAAGGAAAGAAGGGAGGGAGGATGGAAGGAATGAAGCAAGGAAGGAATGAAACAAGGGAGGAAGGAAGACACAAGATCTATGATTTGGATGTGTCATATGTTCAGCTGGGTTTTATATTGATATAGTATTTAATAAGGGATTTGTTTAGGAGGAACTGTTGGTGAAGGACATGTTTGCTAGGTTTAATGCACCGTGAACAGCCAGGCTCGTTTTCAGGATGTCTCCTTGTAACATCATGTCTCCATGATAAATTCTGATTAGTATTGTCACAGTAGTATCCCCATAAACATCTTACTCTTATAAACATGTTGGTTCTTTGTCCGTCAAGTTTCGCTCAGCGTTTCACAAATGCACACATTTGAATATATCTTTGCATCTACTATAGCATGTTAAGATAATTTCCGGTCGTTCGCGAAGTTCCGTTATATTCCGTGATTTGGCGGAACAATCCGATGATATTCGATTCAAATTGAATGTAACTAAAGTTGCCAGTGTACATATCGTTTTGATCATTAATGTCTCGCAATAGACATGTTGAAAGGACAGCTGTTACAACGTGACTTGTTCACAAGGCTCATTGTTTACCGACGTCGAATTTGCAGGTAGTGTATAGCTGATGAATTAATTATGCAAACAAGGTGTAAATGCTTGAATTAATTGAATTACCTGTTACGTTATTTAGATAGGAAACGTCACACAGCTGTCAACCCCTTGATCCCTAGGCACAGCACGTTAATATAACCATACACAAATTAGCTCTTCTCATTGTCTACGCTTAACTCTTCATAATGGATGACGTCACCCAGACACGTGACTTGGTTTTGTGGCTATAGAGGCTGACCGTTAATAAAACTATACATTAAACAACGTGACGTTGAATTCATTATATTTCATAATTTACCTACATTTTTACAGACAAAAATAAATAAAAGCTAAATGGAATAGTCACCAAATGTCATAACCCTTCAAAATCAGAGATGACAGAGTGTTTAAAGGGTCACCAAGGGCCTTGTAATCATTTATTTTATATTTCTGAAAATATATGGACCCAGGCATTGATTTTTTTGTGTGTGATTTGGAGAAAAAAAATCATACTTCTAAATATATGTGATTGGCTTGTACTAGATTTGCACTATAGGATAGAAGATGTCATTTGCCTCCCCTTTTATAATTATCTCACATCCGTGGTACAGATTTTAGAGTTCCAACACCGAGTGGTCACATTAAATACATGTATTTGTATTAAATACATGCTCATTACACTATTGCTATTTCTACTCTTTATTGTGTCATAGATATCCCTCTCAAACTGTGATGTCACAACATATGAAAATTATTTTATTTATTTCAAAATAATTATGAAAGAGACTGCATAATTTTCTCCGACATGTTCACCCTGAACAAAGCATGCAAATGTCTAGAAAAACACGCGTAAACAAGCAAGTAACTAAATAACCCCTCGCATACGATAGGAAATCCCACCCTAGTCACCTAGCGAATGGTGATTACACCACCCGGTCACCTAGCGAACGGTGACTACACCGCCCGGTCACCTAGCGAACGGTGACTACACCGCCCGGTCACCTAGCGAACGGTGATTACACCGCCCGGTCACCTAGCGAAAGGTGACTACACCGCCCGGTCACCTAGCGAACGGTGACTACACCGCCCGGTCACCTAGCGAACGGTGACTACACCGCCCGGTCACCCAGCGAATGGTGACTACACCGCTCGGTCACCTAGCGAATGGTGACAACACCATCCGGCCACCTAGCGAATGGTGACAACACCATCCGGCCACCTAGCGAACGGTGACTACACCGCCCGGTCACCCAGCGAATGGTGACTACACCGCTCGGTCACCTAGCGAATGGTGACAACACCATCCGGCCACCTAGCGAATGGTGACTACACCATCCGGCCACCTAGCGAACGGTGAGTACACCGCCTGGCTACTAAGGCGAACGGTGACTACAACACCCGGTTACTAAGGCGAACGGTGACTACACCACCCGGTAATTCTCTCACGTGAAATCCAATACTGTATTTCTTGTAGTGGCTTTCGCTTATTTGTTGAAGAATGTGAGTTGTATAACAGAATCTTACTCTCGTGTCCATGTCGTGTTGTATCTCTAAGCTATTCCACTCGATCGTACACGGTCCTGTGTTTATAGGCATAACTTAAGACAAAATCCCACCAAGACAGCACGTGATCCAAAACATATCTAAGATATTCTCGTATCACATAGCCACGCGGTATGTAAGATATCCCGCTAACAGTAACCAAACTTTTTCTGTCGTTATAACGGGACCCTGTGTTATAGCGAAACCGCATATCTACTGTAAGTGACAGGATCCTGAGATGAATTCGTTGTACGTGCAAGTTGCAGCGTCCGCTATCACAAAGTGGTAAGTACTGAAATATACTTAACAATTCGCAGAGAGGCGAGATAGCTATGTCAAATTATATTTCGTATCTACGGAAACATGAAAAACACATGACCTGAATCAAAGTCCATTTCTTAAGACTTAATCATTTGAAACTTATTTATGTGTATCTCGATGTTCCCGTCAAGTGTGTTACTCATTCATCAGGTGGATGATCCCAATTCAGACTATACTATACGTTTACGGCGGTTTTGGGAACAGGAACTCTCATAGAAAATATATGTAAATTGATGGTAAAGTGGCATTTATTATCCGCAGTCATTATTCAGAACTGTAGAACAATGATTTTACACCTAGTGTCAACAATTAAACATAGGCCTCTCCGATAACTATGAGATATCGATCACTTGAACCTTGGACATTGCATTAAAATCTATCGTATCAATTTGATTTTGATATAATTTCATTATGAAAATTCCATTGGTTAATCATTGTAGCTAGGTTTATATGTACTTGGAGACTATAGTCATTATGTTACAGCACACTTTTGTTGTACTTTTTATTTGTTCCAACGGCCCTAGAAATGGTATTGCTGTTGCCTGTGCTTCATTACCATGGTTAAGTAATCCGATATTTCCGGACTAACGAAAATTGCCTGTCTCGTCTTTTTATACTCCGGATTTAGATATCCGGTGTACGAAGGTGTTCATACAACGCTAGCGGTTACCGTAATGGATTGGTAGCCCGACTGGTTATATAGAACATGGACTAAAAAGGTTATTGAGCATAAGGGGTTTGTCACACAGCATATTATGAAAATAAATAAATAAATAAAATAATTAATTAATTAATAATTAACTATCACAGCCAACCTCCATTCGCCCATTGTCTTCCAAATTCAGGACAAGTGATGAAACCGCCTTGTGTTCACATAAGAATGTATGTGCTATACCAATATTGCGGTGTAGAAAACCGTTTTTAAGGTCGATCTCAAAACGGAATGAAAACAATCCGGCACTATTTCCAGTCGCATTACAGACTTTCGCCCTGATACGTAGTTGCGTTTCTTTGGAATAAATTTTACAAAGATGTGGCAAGCTTACCTTTGGTTAATGAGATCCAGAGAATAAGGAATAGGCTAGCGGCCTTCATCCTACAGACAGACGGCCCTGGTATAATAGCTGTCTCCACTAGAACATGCTACCTCGCCGAATTAACAGATACCTGAGCGACACAGCACACCTGTGGGATGCGACTTAAGACAATCTCCTGTTTGAATTTAAGTATAAAAACTCATCTAACTAAGTATTGCATATATATGTGTACGCGATGATCCCAGATAGTCGTGTCAGTAATCCACAAGTATATCCCTGTCGTACAGGTGTTTTCCACAGGTATCCGACACAGGTATGGACCAGGGAAATTCTACAATAACATGTTCAGGTTTTACTCAAGTCGGAGTTGAGCGAGCTGGCTGGTTAGCTATTTGTCACCAAACGCCGTGACGAATGTGACAGGCGAGACGGGACAGCGTTAGTAGACTATGTACAAGGGCCGAATCATCTTCATTCCCAATTATAATGGACCCTGAATAGAAAAAAAGACAGATAATTCTGACGAATAACAATTCCGCATTGTCATTAGAAAAATCATAAATATCATTAACTAATTCTATTAATAAATGCACGTAAGTGCTTTTTGGGGTTGGGTTCTGGAATCCCTCCACGTGCAGAGGCAAACATCACTTTTTAATTCCTACAGTTAGGATAGTTAATGTACTTGGAGATAAATCTTTGTTGTCCCGGCCCTATCTCGTCATTACAAAAGATATATTTACTTACTAAATAGCAATTAATAGGGCGAAATCTCCTCTCCACATTCTTGACAAAATGCGCGGGTGAAATCCCCGGTGAGAGCAGAAGCACCATAGTCCGGGGCGAAATCCCCCGGTGAGAGCAGAAGCACC